GGCCCGCAGAGGTCGCCGCCTCCGGTGCCTCAGGAGGAGACCCGCCGGACCCCCGAAGCCCCGCTTTACACCCAGCACCTCGCCTTTGTGTGAGATTTCTCCTTCCCAAATCCTCTTCTCTCCCCTGTTTCTGAACGTTTTACATTAATGGTTTTGACGACCGTCTTAAAACTTGAACTGCTTCGGGATATTTTATGGGAAATGCTGTATAAAAGTTTTAAAGAAATAAATGTTGGATAGGTCGGCGACGTTGCAATTGAATCCAAGCGTCCTCTATAGGATCCTAAGAGCAGGAGTTTTATTATGCACTTACAACTAAGTGTGGAACAGACATACAGTAAAACAACAAATCGAATCAAATTTAGTTTGGTCCTGGCCCTCTCTGCTCTATATCTAAACATATATACCTGCATACGTGTGTGTGTGTACATCTGCTTTATAAGTAATCAGAAAAGTTGGCAAGCAAACACAGATGGTATTACCTCCTAACGTGGGGTAATTTCATCTCTCATTCTGCTGCTTCCTCGTTGTCAAGAGTATTTTTTAAATTGCTACATGACAGGCAGAAGTACAACAGATGCACTTTCCCTCTGTTCTCCTCCATAGAATGGTGGGACAGCCGCAACTGCTGCCTGTTGTGTAAGTGTTAAAGGCATCATTGTTGCAGCCAGGCTGTTCAGTACAATTTTGTAATGCTGATTCAGAACAAGCTGTACTGAATTCGGAGGTTATGGGGTTGCAGCTTAGTGTTATTCGTGTGTTTTGAGAGGTGAGATTTCTGCCATAAGCATTTGCGATAACAGGAATCAATTCATCAAATTTGAAAATGTCATTTTCTACAGATGGTAGAAACTACGAGCCTGGCAGAGCATGAAGATTTTTGCAAGGGAAATTTTATATAAATACAGGTCTTATTGCAAGAGTTATTCCTGTCTCAGTGCAATACTCCACATACATATATATCCTCATCATGTTATTCCCTTTTGGGAAAACCATTATGCAAAGAAGAGAAAAGAGTAAGAAGTAGGGAGCAAAGGAACTGTAAATGTAGGAGATAACAGAAAAGAAAAATGCAATCTAACTCAGGGTTCTTCAACCTCAGCAATCATAAGATGGGTGGACTTCAACTCCCAGAATTCCCCAGCCAGCATGCTGGGATGGGGAATTCTGGGAGTTGAAGTCCACCCATCTTAAAAGTTGCTGAGGTTGAGGAACCCTGATCTAACTAAATCTAGTTTGTACCAACACAATTCGCTATACTATTCCATTCCTTTGAAACCTGCAAAACTAATCCTGCTCCGCTACATCCATAGATCATGTCCTACAATTGCTTTTCTTCTCATCTCTATCCCTCTCTCTTTGAGGACCTCATTGACTCCACTCAGTTTATGACTTTTCCTATCCCTTTCAACCTACTCAAATTTCTTCATATATTTGTTTCACAATTCAATCTTTCATGCTCTGTGTAGGACCAAACTATAAGGATGCGCTCTACATGGGGCTGCCCTTGAAGAGTATCCAGAAGCTT